GAAGCTTCTGCAGTTTTCTTCTTCTCTTCAATTTCTTTTGTTAAAGAAGAGAATAGGACGACTCCGACTCGCCGCCGCCGGTGCAATGTTGGTGCGAGCATTCTCCCTGTGAAGGGCTCTTGCTACTTCGTCATACGTCAGAGCTGCCTCTTCTACTGTGTCGGAAGTCCCCAACCATAGTCGCACACGATGAATCTTTGATATCTGCCACCCACCGCCCGGCCTTTGTCGGACCAAAATTTTGCAGCGATGTAGGTTTTGGGAATTAGGGATTTGTAGTCTTCAAGTCTTGAACCAAACATTTTAATGGATGTTAGACGGTTGACATAACGGAGGACCAACTTGGTTAACATTTTCATAGTTGGAGGACTAAGTTGGGTAACAAAAATAGTCCAGGACCAAATCGGTAATTTTGCTATAGTCAAGAGACCATTTTGGTAATTAACTCATAAATTTAACTACCAATAAGATAATGACACATCAAGAAGGGAAGCTATTAGGGGAAATAAAGGAGAAGTTTATAGCATTGCTCATAAATTAATATGTTTTTACATTAATATTAATGTGATTAAAAAGGTGATATTATTATTATTATTATTATTATTATCATCATCATCATCATTCATCATCATCATCATCATCATCATCATCATCATCATCATTCATCATCATCATATTATCATTCTATCATCATCATCATCATCATTCATATCATCTATCATCATTATCATCATCTATCATCATCATATCATCATCTATCATCATCATCATCATCATCATATCATCATCATCATCATCATTTCATCATTCATCATTTCATCATCATCATCATTCATTCATCATCATATCATCATCATCATTCATTTTATCATCATCATCATCATATCATCATCATCATCATCAAAAAATCATCATCATCATAAATCATCAAATCATCATCACATCATCAATCATCATCATCATCAATCATATCATCATATCAACAATCATCATCATCACATCATCATCAATCATCATATCATCATCAATCATAAATCATCATCATCATCATCATCATCATCATCATCATCATCATCATCATCATCATCATCATTCATTCATCATCATCATCATCATCATCATCATCATCATCATCATCATCATCATCATCATCATCATCATCATCATCATCATCATCATCATTCATCATCATCATCATCATCATCATCATCATTCATCATCATCATCATCATTCATCATCATCATCATCATCATCATCATCATCATCATTCATCATCATCATTCATCATCATCATCATCATCATCATCATCATCATCATCATCATCATCATCATCATCATCATCATCATCATCATCATCATCATCATCATCATCATCATATCATCATCATCATCATCATCATCATCATCATCATCATCATCATCATCATCATCAATCATCATCATCATCATCATCATCATCATCATCATCATCATCATCATCATATCATCATCATCATCATCATCATCATCATCATCATCATCATCATCATCATCATCATCATCATCATTCATCATCATCATCATCATCATCATCATCATCATCATCATCATCATCATCATCATCATCATCATTCATCATCATCATCATCATCATCATCTATCATCATTCATCATCATTTCATCATCTATCATTCATCATCATCATCATCATCATCATCATCATCATCATCATCATCATCATCATCATCATCATCATCATCATCATCATATCATCATCATCATTCATCATCATCATCATCATCATCATCATCATATCATCATCATCATCATCATCATCATCATCATCATTCATCATTCATCATCATCATCATCATCATCATCATCATCATCATCATCATCATCATCATTCATCATCATCATCATCATCATCATCATCATCATCATCATCATCATCATCATCATCATCATCATCATCATCATCATCATCATCATCATCATCATCATCATCATCATCATCATCATCATCATCATCATCATCATCATCATCATCATCATCATCATCATTATTATTATTATTATTATTATTACATGAGCATTGTGTGAATAGTTTAATGCTCAATGTGTATTATTAAATTCGTGTTTAAGAATTTATCACAGTATCATCCAATATCTTGTCATATATCAATGCAATATTATCAAATCTATACTATATATAAAAACAAAATCCTAAAATTTTAACTTCCCGCCCAATTCCTAAAAAATCTCTCCTCCTAATAAAATATATTGATTTCTACTTTCCCATTCGTACAAAATCCTAAAATTTTAACTTCCCGCCCAATTCCTAAAAAATCTCTCCTCCTAATAAAATATATTGATTTCTACTTTCCCAATCGTACAATAATTCTGCGTTAAAATTCTATTCTCATATTATTATAAAATACTGTAATACAATCTATATTCTATACTATATATAAAAACAAAATCCTGAAATTTTAACTTCCCGCCTAATTCCTAAAAAATCTCTCCTCCTAATAACTTTTGACTTTTGACACTAAGTTGTAAATTGTCAAAAGTTCGGCAAGGCATAACTTTTGACTCCGTTGTCCGTTTTAGACAAATGTTTTTTTGAAATCGCATATTTTTTCGAGATCTATCCACCGCAAACTGTCGTAGGCGGTTTGGCCCACCAATTTCGAAAAAAAAATACTTTATTAAAGAGTTTCTAAGAAAAAATTATGTTTTATTAATGAATTTTTAAAATTTTTAATTAAACAATTGTCCCGTGCATTATTTAATAATCTTTCTTTATAATTGGTCAAATTATTTAATTATGGTAAATTTGGAATAATTAATGATGGTAATAGAAATCCTAGAAGAATATAGAATTGAATAATATTTAATTATTGTTATATTATTATTGTGACTCACGAAATACAAGAGTTAATGCCATTTTTGGTCCTAGACTTATTGGGGCATTGACACTTTTCATCCTCCATAATAAAATTCTATTCTCATATTATTATAAAATACTGTAATACAATCTATACTATATATAAAAAAAAAATCCTGAAATTTTAACTTCCTGCCCAATTCCTAAAAATCTCTCTTTCCAATAAAATATATTGATTTCTACTTTCCCATTCGTACAATAATCTATACTATATATAAAAACAAAATCCTGAAATTTTAACTTCCCGCCCCATTCCTAAAAAATCTCTCTTCCAAATAAAATATATTGATTTCTACTTTCCCATTCGTACAATAATTCTGGGTAAAAATTATATTCTGAAAGTATAAAATAGTGTAATACAATTCTCTTTGCACATCTAATCTATACCATATATAAAAACAAAATCCTGAAATTTTAACTTCCCGCCCAAATCCTAAAAAATCTCTCTTCCCAATAAAATATATTGATTTCTACTTTCTCATTCGTACAATAATTCTGAGTAAAAATTCTATTCTAAAATTATAAAATAGTGTAATACAATTCTCTTTGCACATCTAATCTATTCTATATATAAAAACAAAATCCTGAAATTTTAACTTTCCGCCCAAATCCTAAAAAATCTCTCTTCCCAATAAAATAAATTGATTTCTACTTTCCCATTCGTACAATAATTCTGGGTAAAAATTTTATTTTAAAATTATAAAATAGTGTAATACAATTCTCTTTGCACATCTAATCTATACTATATATAAAAACAAAATCCTGAAATTTTAACTTCCCGCCTAATTCCTCAAAATTTCTCTTCCCAATAAAATATATTGATTTCTACTTTCTCATTCGTACAATAATTCTGGGTAAAAATTCTATTCTAAAATTATAAAATAGTGTAATACAATTCTCTTTGCACATCTAATCTATACTATATATAAAAACAAAATCCTGAAATTTTAACTTCCTGCCCAATTCCTAAAAAATCCCTCTTCCCAATAAAATATATTGATTTCTACTTTCTCATTCGTACAATAATTTTGGGTAAAAGCTGTGAAGTGTCAAAAGTTCGGCAATTCATAACTTTTGACTCGGTTGTCCGTTTTGGACAAATGTTTTTTTAAATTGTGTATTTTTTCGAGATATATCCACCGCAAACTGCCGTAGGCGGTTTGGCCCACCGATTTCTAAAAAAAATGCTTTATTAAATATTTCTAAGAAAAAACTATGAGAACCCTATGTTTTATTAATGAATTTTTAAATTTTTTAATTAAAAAATTATCTCGTGTATTATTTAATAATCTCTCTTTATATTTGGTCAAATTATTTAATTATGGTAAATTAGGGATAATTAATGATGGTAATAGAAATCCTATAAGCGACCTCGGGTGAAATTAACTCTTAAATAATTATATATCAATTTAAATATTCTTAGTATATTACAACAATTCCATTCCGTGCATCGCACGGGTGAAAATACTAGTTTTCTATAAAAGTAAATATTCACGGCTAGAAATTGACTGATTTCCGACCACTTTCTAGGTGGTCGGAAATTGCCTTAATTAGGTCGGAAACACCTGTTCCAACCAATTTGGGTATCCGGAAAAACCCTCTTCGCTATTTCCGACTACTGGAGAAATGGTCGAAAATTGCGACCACTTTTTGAAGGCCGTAGGAAAAAAACGGCCAGCATAATAGTCGGGCAAGTCCGGATTTTCCGACCACTTTGGTGGTCGGAAAACTTGATGTAGTCAATAAAAAAAATCATTTCACTATCGGGAGAACCCCTCTGTAGTGAAATGATATATATATATATATATATATATATATATATATATATATATATTGGTGCAAGTTGGTAAGATATTTGGTGAAAAACAGATACACATTTCATATATTTGACGATAATTCATTCATGAATATACAATTTAAAATTTAAAACAAGTCAAAATCTAGAAATCTGAAATTTAACTTCTGATTCAATCTACTGAGCAACCTGTAATACCACACATAAATAAGAATAAGAAATTGCGAAGAGGAGTAACAAAGCAAATCTAACCAAGCAAACTACTAAAGGCAGATGCTTGAAAATGGAAGTATGGGTTATCAATTGTCAAGATATTTGAAGAAGATAAGTCAATGCAAGAAAGTGCATGAAAATGGAAGTTCGGGTTATACTTTCCACTCACCTGCTTCCTAACAATCATTAGAAGTTCATTACAAATAGAAGATCTGGACCCTGCAATAGATCTTGTTGAAAGGGCAAGAAGACTGAAGGCTTCATACACCTAAGCAAGAAAAGCATTACCATAATCACAATCCATATAAATTGGTTAGTTTACATGGCCAACAATAGCCTAAAAGTTAAAATTGCAATAGCAACCTGTGTAAGTTTGCCCATTAAAGTCAAGAATCACTCACCAGTTTATCAATGGCTTCATCCGGTATTTCATGAAAATAAATCTGCAATTTGGGAATGCTATTAATAAAATATTGTCTTGTAAAATTAAATGAACCTTTGTATTCCTCAGAAACTGGTAGAAGTGTAGTTCTGGTTTAATTAATGCCTTCTAGATTCCCGGTTTAGCAGTAAACAAAATGAGATACGAGGTACCTTAAGGATCACCAGTGGCTGGAAGATGGCAACAAATTGGGGTGGCTCCTTCCCTTGAAATATATGACCCTACATGAAATTTAAGGTTATTCAATCTAAAAATACCAGATTTCTCAAGGGCCAAAGCAAAAATAAAAATAAAAATACTTGTACCAGAACAGGTCTCCCTTTCAGTGAATTGCACATTGAGGTAGCCAACTTAGCTGCCGTCTTTTGATCCTCCTGGATTTATTAAAACAAAACTTCAAGAATCAAAAACATTTCAAACACATCGCCGTAGACTAGGAAAATCAAAGAAACAGCATTCTAATAATACATATAGTTGAAAAAACAAATTAAAATTACAAAAATTTCTTTTACATTAAGCAATTACTAGCTCTATTCTGGTTTAGGTGTCATGTTTACTATTTGAAGGTCAAACTAACTCTTCTTTGCTCTTTTAATTTCTTTAACATTTTCCTATAATGTTTTAAATTTGGTCTTTCGTATTTGCAATGATCAATCAGAGAGAGAATTTCGAATAAAGCAACTAAGAAGATATTAAAACAAAAGGAACTTTGTTCCATTCTTCCTGATATTTAGCTCATGAAATAATAAATTTATATGAAACAAATCAAACATCTGATTATATTCTTTTTACAATTTTTTGCCAGAATAAAAACAAGAATTCCAACAAGTTAATTTTGAAAAACCACATAACATAGGCTGACTTTATGTTAGAACTCAGCAATTACTATTTTTTACCTTTAAAAAGGCTAACCATTGAATAGAGAGATGGCTAATGTGATTGAAATCTAAAATCATTTTAATAAAAAAATCAAAGATTTCCAATTTTATAGTGAAATATAAAGTTTCTTCATTTTAGTAGTAATAATGATGACCAAAAGCATTACCAAAATCATTGTTCAACTTGCTTCCTACTTTTTTGAACCAAAACTCTAGAATCAGGTCACATGCCACTGCAAACAAGAAACAAATATTATTCAAGACGAACTTCTTAAGCATGATTCATGAAACCAGAAGTAGATTAATTCGGGCTTGAAGATCGTAGCACGGGGTGTTACACAGATGGTGCAAGGAAAGCTAGCACGAGCTTGTCAAGTGCAGGTGTCATCATTCGAGATAATCAAGGCAAGTGGATTGTGGGTTTTGTTACAAAAATTGGTACAACAAGCAGCTTCATTACCGAACTCTGGGGACTTCGGGAGGGTTTCATGGTGGCCAAGAATGGAGGCTTCACGAAACTAGTTGCAGAATCAGACTCGGAATCCTTGGTCCAAGCACATAAAAATAATATGGGGTCTAGACCGGAAGCCGACACGTTAATTATGGATTGTAAGGAACTGATGAGGAATTTCCAAGACTTTGATCTCATACATGTCTTACGAGAAGGGAATCAATGAAAAATTTTTTTGGCCAATATGGGTCAACAGTATAATTGGGGGACTTCGGTTTTGACGCATCCGCCGGACGGGATGGATGTCCTCCTGGCTTGTGATGCTAATTGAAGCATGTGGCCCATCTCAACTAAAAGCCTAAGCTAATAGTTGGATTGCACATTTATGGTTATATATATATATATATATATATATATATATATATATATATATATATATATATATATATATATATATATATATTATATGCTCAACAATGCTAACTTAGTTTCTACAAGAAGGATTTCTTAGCTTTTATGGGGTTTGTATGCTCCTCTTGTAACACCCTGTGTTACGCCCTTTAATCCCAGATTAATTATTTAATTAATTCTGTTAAAGAATAGTTAAAAAGGATTTAATCTGGCCATGATCCCTTAATTAATTAATGTAGTCCACGAAGAACCGTGGACCCTTGTTTATAATAAGGACTTTAAAGTCTATTAGGAATAAAGAAAGTGCGCCTTTACTACTTAGATTCTAATTAGGAAACCTAGACTTATATACCTGTTAGGAATAGAAAGTAGGTCTTTACTATTCAGACTCTAATTAGGATTCCTAACTCTATAAATAAGGGATTAGAAGGCAATTAGAACCCTTACCACCCATAGTTATATTACACGAAATTATTCCCAAGAGATTCCCCACCGCCAAGCCTAGGGAGATCAATCAGATGGAAATCTTAGAGAAGAACCTTAATAGCCAAGGGAGGATTAATTTAGTCTAAGAGGTAACCCATGTCTTACAAAACCTATTTTCCTTGTTATATCTTATTCATTGGCTCCTTTGATAATCGTAAGTGTAATTCTATGATTGAGTCTGGATAGAGCCTTGCTTAGGGTTTATATTGTATTCATTTAATAATCTTGATGTTCTTGATATTGTGATTGATTATATGTATGATCTTGTATTTTAATTATGTCAAGAGCTCGTCCCTACGGTTTATATCGTGAATCTCGTTGTGGTGATGTTCTTGGTATATTTGGGTGGGATTATGCATGATCGGGTATTGAGTCTAGCCTAGGACTTGTATTTAGGACTTTGCATATAAATTTCTTGATGTTCTTGTGGTTTCGGATGCTCCTGAACCGTTATATGATTGATGTTGAGTTTTGGCATGTTTAGGAATCGTGTTAGAACTTATTTGGAATGATTCTTGGTTTAATTCCTGTTAATTGAATCTGTGATATTGTTGTGGTGTGTTGGAATGTGTCTGGACATGGTTTCGGGTTCCACGAGAGATCCCGGGACCGAAAAGTTGCATGTGTACCAGTGGGGTGTAGGTGGGGGGTCGAACGGCCACCACCTACCCGCTGCCCGAGAACACTGTTCCAGCGGGCAGCTGGTGGGCAGTGGTCTGCCCGCCGGGCACCTGCTGGAAATGTTGGCCGCCGCCGACGGGTAGCCAGCGGGTAGTTCCACCCGCCGCCCACCCACTGGAAAGTTGATGTGGGTCGTGGTGTTTTTCCTCGTTTGTTGTTTCCCCGAGTCCTGTTGTACCCCATTTGTCGTGTATGAGTCTCGTTTGATGTTTTGAAAACCGTTCTAAGAATTTATGTGTAGTGCGTGTCGTTGTTGTTATGTCTTGATTGTTATTCATTGTGTATGTGTTGATTGATTGGATGATGATGGGTATCGTGGTCGTTGCGCTATGGCCGGTGTGACAAATGATAATGATGTTGAGATTGTGATTGGGAGAAAAGAATTGTTGGCGGTTGGTACAACGAGTGCCCGGTCATTGTACTAAAGGTACAGGCCTAGCGGTTACTGTGCTAAAGGCACAAACCCACCTTCGACTTGCTTGCCATTGAGCATGGGTCATGTTATAAGTGTTGCGGTGCCATGTCGGAGCTATATGCGCTGACCCCTTGGTATTAGTACTAGAGGTACGGATCATGCGAATGGCACTGCGGCGCTATCTTGATATGTTGGTGGTTGATAGGTGGTTTGTCGGTGGGGGCATGTAGTTGCCCAGAGGAATAAGGGAGACGATATAAGGGTGGGCTGGAGGTATAGGTTGGAACAGATATAAGGACGGAGGGGAGCCACAAGGTTGGAACTTTGTATAAGGTTGGAAGATGAATTGTGTGCCTTGATGATTACCTGTTAATTGATTGTCTTTGAATTCCATTGTTGTCTCTATTTGCTATTTATGAGCTTATCGGTCTATTATGCCTTATATTGCGTTCTTAGGATGCATGCTAGTCTTTGTGATCGTTCTATAGTGTCAAGTCTATTGTTATGTCTTGTGTCTTGATCTTGGTTTAAAGCTAGAGTTGCCTAGGTTATATATGTATTCGAGTTTCAAAATGATTTTCTTATATCTACCTATATTATACTTAACGTGTTGGAGTGGGTTACCAACATTATTTGCTGACGGTTGTTACACCAAATGTTTTTCAGGAACAGTTGAGTAGCTTCAGAGCGCACTAGTTGGATTCGTGGACTTTGTTTAGATAGTTCTAGCTTTGATGAGATGGCCTACGTGCCTTGATTTGTATTTGGATATTAATTATGCTTTGTTAGTTAGTTTAGCCTGTGCATCTGAGTTCTCTAGCTCAGGTGTGGCATAGCACCCCGCCTATCATGTTTAGTTTATGATCTGTTTGGGAATTATTAATAGATCTGCCTTTATTCCATAAGCTTTAAAAGTTTTAAAAATTTGGGGTGTTACAGTTGGTATCAGAGCCTAAGTTTGACCCTATGATAAGGCCCTTAAGATAAGACTTTAGGACATTAAGCTTGAACTCTAGGTGTTTAAGTTCTTAGGATATAAGAATCTTAAGACACGCGGTGAGACTGTGAATTTATTTATCGCTTTCTGTTAAGTTCCCTATACTTGTTCCTTGCTTTCTACGCTTGCTCCAAAGTTGTGATATCCTTGCATACTTTTACATGCTTTGTCACATATCATTCTTTGATTATTAATAATTTACCTTGGCATGCTATTGATTCGGTTTCTTAATAAATGCTGGACTTGGTTATTTGCTTAAACATGAAAGTTGGGTTATTTTCCTAATTAATTCATTCATATATCGGCTAAGGACTTGCATATTATTGCTTAATTACTTGGTCAATATGCATTATTTGGATATTTTTTATTTGATGGAATACTTTGGAACTTGCAATTGGCGACTTTATTGTGATTGTTCGATTATTTTGATAGTTAACTTACTTATAGTTTCATAAGTACTTGCATGAGTTTGCCTGAAAGTTGTGGGAACGTAGCTTTATTGTTTAGGAGGGGAGGAATGTGATGTGTGATCCTTATGATGTCTTGAACTTTCGTTTAAGTCTCCCGTGTTCCTTGTTGATATCATAATAATGTTATTGCTTAATGTTTACCATGTATTTAAGTCCCTTTTGTTGTTCATATGAGTGCGGGATTGTTTGGACTTGAATTTGTGCATTTTTGGGACTTTTCCCGAAGTAATTCCTTCTTCATAGTCACGTTCCAGTGGGACCCTAGCAGGAGGTCGACCTCTCATCGCGTGCCCACAGTCACGTTCCAGTGGGACCCTGACAGGCGGTCGACCGCCCACCTCGTGCCCACTGGTACGGTATGTTGATTTCTTGACTTCTCGTTTTATTGATCCATTGTGCGCTTGTATGTCTTCCTTGATGATTCCTTATGTGTTTAATATGTAAATAAAAATCTATACTTGAACATGAAGGTTGGAATATTTCCTAATTATATATAATTAATAGATAAATACATAGGTATGTAGGAGCATATACATGTACGGTACGTAGTAATCCTTGTTCCCTAACTCAATTACCTAA